TTCATAGGGCGCCATCTACCTGACAATTCCAGTTCATTTGTCAGTCCCTATTATTCCATTCCAGCGATAAGATTCCAGAACTTAAATGGAAGATGTAGGAATGTCAGTAACATATTTCTCCAACAGAACCACTTGTATAAAATGATTTAAAAATGAGGCTGCCTTTCTGTAATCTGTCATGGTTATTTATCTAAGATATAATACCGTTTCATGATTGTAGATTAAACATAGATGTGATTTGATATAACCTAAAAATGCCCTATGACGTGGGCAGTGACTAGTTAAAATGTCAAAAAATTCCCCACCTGACCCATTGGAACAAATCTGTTATCCCTTCATAATTAGTATCACATAGATATACAACATTCACATGCTATATGGTTTGTGAACAGATGATTATATAATATGGAAATAATTTATTTTTGAGTGTAAATCGATTTATTTTTTGATCTATTAAAATAATTGATTATTAAAAAAATTAACCAAAACCTGTATAAAAATTCCATTAGGCTGTATCTTTGCTAATAACGGTCTGATTTCTATGATTTTTCTACTCCTTTTAGAGAATTAAGAAAAAAAAAATAATAATCATGAATATAATAGCCATTAGAGTGGATACACAATAAATATAGTTCCGTTTTTTGGGGGGGAGGAACCTATATAATCGTTAGAGCCGATTCGGGGTTACAGTTTATAGAAATGGACTATTATAATCTGCATTAATTGATAATGGACGTTCCATTTAGATTTTCACGTTATACCTTTCAAATTATCATGGGTATAGTAAATCCAAAATTTTATAGTTTTTGAGTTTAGCGGAAATAATTTTTCTTTGTTTATTACAGAGCATGAGCTTATTACTCGGAACTGGAGGAGAATGTAAACATCAAATCGATAGCTCAAAAATTGGATTCGAGGAAGATAGATAGATAATATGGTCTACCAACAAAAAAAAAATGTTAAGGAATAATAAATGTATATAGTGAGATACTGACTGATATAGAAATCAGTTCACTTTTCATTAATTTTTAAAATTATCAGAAACTATACATCTAATGGAATATTTTAGTTCCTAATTATAAGGTTAATCAAATTATTGATAGAACCTTCCTGAACAATATAAATTAAAAATGGGAGCAAATAATCGCGGACATACAGCAAAAAATATTGTATACAGATTTTTAACATGAGCCTTTAAAATATTATATTATTGTCAAAATATTTTTTTAAACAATCTTCTAAATTTAATTTTTTAAAATCATGTAACTTTAATGAGTTCTCCTTACAGTACATTCGACATTATTTTAGCAGTGTACTGTATTTTTATTGAAAGTTTTAGTTTATATAAATTGTGTAAAACAAAACTCACACTTTTATGCTGGCATAGATGTCTTACTTAGCTAAGAGAGCTCTCTAGTCTGGACAATGCAAAGTTCCGGCATGGAACGGGCTAAGAGAGTATCGTGGCTCGGTTGGATCAAATCTTATCTTTTATCAGATCCGTTTTCACTAATCACAGCAACGCGGCGTTCGAGTACAATATAATTTACTCAAAACAATGTTATTTATATTGCTATTTAAAATTCCGTTTCTGAGAAAATTGTCCCTAGTAACTTTTTGATAAATTTTGATGCCAATTTATTAGCATATTTAATGGCGAAATATAATACTAGTATTATTTAGAGAAAACTTTGGCAAAGTTTTAGTAATACGTTAATAATCCGTGTTGTTCACCATGTTATTTATGTTTTAAGCCCACTTTAGGACAGTCTAAAGTGCATTTAAACATAAATGACGACTGAAAGGGCTCAATTCAAGTCTAACTGCAGTAAAATATTTATTATTTATTAACATGTTGTAGAAATTATATTATAATGGCTTTATTATATCATGAAAAAATCTTGTTTGGATGAGCTTGACGGAAACATTCAATAAAGTTTGAAACGGTAATTATTATTCTAAAACTTTTAAGGTCCGTTAGGGTTTAAAAAAAAAAAAGGTGATGCCCTTTTACCTGCCTCGCTTAATTTAATGGCGTATATTAATTTAATATAAGGACATTATCTGGGGTTGATTTGGGCCTGCCAAGCGTAAATACGGAAACTATAAAATTAAATACGACAACGTTAATAAAAGCCGGGAATTACTGGGATTCAAAATAAATAAGGATATGACGAAATATATGTTTAGTTGCAATATCGGTAATGTCGATATAGAAGGGAATATGGTTAAACAAGTTTTGATATCTAGGGTCTACGATAATTATAAAATACGAATTGCAGAGTAGATTAAAGTTAGATTGAAGGCGGGTTATGCTTGTTATTTTTTTGTGATAAAATTACTTAGTTCGCTCCTGTTGTCCCAAAACTTAAAAAATAAGAATGCAAGAATTGGGCCAAGCTATTATCTAACCTATGGTTGAGTGAAACGAGGCTGCTTACATTAAAGGATGGACGAAATACTAAAGTTTTTGGAAATAAAGGATTGCATAGAATATCCATTCTGAAGGAAGATGAAACAACTGGAGAATTTAGACGGTCACACAATTCAAATTCTCAATTGTGTGAACCGTATCCGGTTAATATAATTTAGCTGATTACATTACGGTTAATAAAATCGTTGAGGGATGGTGTAAAATTAAAAGGAAGAGTATAATTGTTCAGCTTAGTAACGAAAGTGTATTTATTACGAATCAATTCTAACCAAATTAGACATGTATTAGTTTTAAATGATGAAGTTAAAATAATATCGGTGCTTAATTGTCTTAAGCGCGGAAAGAGAAGAGCTTGGGAAAATAAGAACATGGAGGACACAGAGGCATTGCGCGGCCAAAATGAAAGTCGGTTGTTCTTTCAGAGAATAAACGAGGGTAGGGCAGCTTTCAGGCCCAGAGTGACGGCATGCAAAGACGCGAACGGGACTTCTTTAAGCCACAAAGATGACGTACTAAGGAGATGGGTACAACACTTCAAAGACGTATTAAACAGAGGAACGGCGCCTGGAGAAGTAGGAGTAATGAAGGAAGACTCCCTAAATTCTATTGAACCCCCGGATGAGGAGGAAATGGAAAACGCCTTGAGGAAATTGAAAAAAAAAAAAATCCAGTCAGAGCTGTTGAAATGTGGAGGTGAAGAACTCAAGAAAGCTCTGTATGATTTAATGCTGACCATCTGGGAGAGGGAAGTTATGCCTACGGAATGGGCAACAGCCATTATCTGCCCAATACATAAGAAAGGAGATCAAACAGAATGCGGTAACAATCGAGGAATCTCACTCCTTTCGTGTACTTATATGCTGCTCTCTAACATTCTTTTTGAGAGGATCCTCCCGTATTCTGAAAAGGAACTGGGGAAATATTAGGCTGGATTTCGCCGAGGACGCTCAACCACTGATCAACTATTCTCTCTGAGGATGATCCTAGAAAAGACTATGGAGCGTAAGGTAGTCACCCACTATTTATTCCTGGACTTTAAAGCAGCATACGACAGCGTTGATAGAACACAACTATACTGTGCCTTGGAGGAGCTAAGCATCCCTCAGAAGCTCGTACGCCTAATCAAGATGACCATGGACAGCTCGAGATGTAGAATACGCGTCGGTTCTGATGCCTCCGAAAAGTTTAAAGTGAGCAATGGGGTTCGGCAAGGGGATGCCCTCGCCTGTCTATTGTTCAACTTGGCAGAGGAGAAAGCTGTAAGAGACTCCGGCATCCAGATCAGTGATATAATCTTCAATCGCCTGACACAGCTTCTTGATTTTGCTGATGATATTGACATAATAGGTAGGTCTGAACGGGCTCTCAGAGAAGCGTTTATAGGCCTTGAAGCAGCTGCAAGACCACTTGGTCTAGAAGTCAACGAAAGGAAAACTAAGTATATGAGAGTTGGTGGTGAGGTGGATCTGAACTCTCCATTTGAGGTAGGTTCTTTTAAGTTTGAGAGAGTGAAAAGTTTTGTATACCTGGGTCTGAAATTAATAGCAAAAATGACATGGCTCAAGAAATACAGAGAAGGATCACGGCTGCCAATAGATGTGTCTTTGGACTTGGCTGGCACTTAAGAAGTAGGTATCTCTCTAAGAAGACCAAGCTGATCATATACAAGACCCTTGTACGGCCTGTTTTGACATATGGCTCAGAGGCTTGGACGATGACTAAAAACGATGAGATGAAGCTGAGTGTGTTTGAGCGAGGAGTCCTCAGAAGGATTTATGGTCCAGTAAAGGAGGGTGTTGTCTGGAGGAAAAGAAAAAATAGGGAGCTCAGTTCTCTTTATACAGACATCGATGTAGTCACGTATAATAAACTGGCCAGATTAAGGTGGGTAGGGCATGTGGCCAGAATGAGCACCGTTGAGATACCCAAGAAAATAATGATGGAGGAGCTGCACCTCGCAAGACGGGTAGGAAGGCCGAGGACGAGGTGGTTGGACAACGTGGCTTATGATGCGAGAACCATGCTGGTGTACGGAACTGGAGAGCTGCAGCAGAAGACAGAGCCAACTGGCGGAGGCTCTTGGAGGAGGCCCAGTCTTGGTAACGGGATGTCGTGCCACATATGATGATGAATTGTCTTAAAGTTATTGATTTGCTAAACCAAATTTAACTTTGAGGTTTTATTAATTAATTAATATAAAATTTACTTATATGTATAGAACATCTTTTCCATAATAATTTATTATTGGGATAATTGAAGTGCAGATTAGATAGGCATTGATGATCTCTGGGTTTCAAACCTCTAAGCCCTAAATAACAACAACAACGACCGATGTGTAGACCAATGTGAAAAGATAGCGTCAAGGCTGATCTAGCTGATTAGTGGTGTCGTCATCGAACCTTCGGGTTCGCTATGCCTTTTATTATTATTATTATTAATTTATATCATGAACTGAGTTATGAACTTACACCTTACGCAGACGGGTGGGTTGCAGCTATAATTTTTTTTTTACATATTATATGATTATTATATTTCATTATTATACTTAATAACATGATATTATTACTTTCTTCTTGTCTCCGACTTTAGCCCTGATCCTCTCAGTCCAGAGTTCTTTCACTTTGTCCAGAAGAATATTGGTGTGCCTGTCGAAGGCCTTTACAATCCCAAGTAACTTACGGTTGTTTCGGCAATTAATCAACACCTGCAAAAAAGAAGTACACATTTTCAAACCTTTTTTATACAATAAATATATGATTTTGTTTTAAAACATTACTACGTTCTAAATGAGACGTTTGTAGGAGAATTGACTTAGGGTTTATTTTATTGCTTATGGTAGGATTTAAATTGAGAAGATACATCATAATAAATTTAATAATGAACTTTAGTCAAACTAACATAAATTATTATAACATTGTTTATATACAATAAATATATTATTAAAAGCCAGTGGACGTGAGTGAGGGCACTATAGCCACACAATAGTTAGGTTGAGGTTCTGGCCTCTGCTGGAGCTGAAATATCCATATCTGCAAGATGGCCCGAGACCAGTGTTGTTCAAGAAGGATTGTAGAGGTGTGTGGAGCTAGAGATGGATAGTGATAAAGGGTTTGGTTGACGTAAAATTCTGATAGAATTTGGGGGCTTTTTCTGGGGTTGGGTTAGAACAAATGGGATAATATAGTTTTGTAGGTTACATAAAAAGGAACATTAGTAATAGCATATTTCTATTTGTGTTTTCTGTTTCCCAATTCACATTAATGGGATTTCTTTATGGTATTGTCGAAATCGTATTGTGATGTCTCTAAATGGAAAATATTAAAACTAGGCGATCATCCAGAAGTTAAGAAATCTTTTTATATATTTTTTTTGTAGTAGAGATCGCGAGGGTGACCGATTTCCAGTGGCATATTAGTTGGATAGTAAGTTTTTTTTAAAGATTTTTTTAAGGAGGAAAAAAATATATATATATATACCACCAATAGTCCGCACCAATAGAAACATAAACTAACCCAAAATTACACACTTAGAGTTCAATGGATAATATTTGCTTTCACCACATTACCTTGATAAGACACTGCCTATGCAATCTACGTGTACGAATTATTAAGACCGTCCTGTAATTCAAATATTTTTAAAAACTTTACTGGTTATGCTTTGTTAATTATAATAATGCGATTCACTAAATGAGTACATTGAAATATATCATTTCTTAAACATTATGAGAAATGGGTTATTATCCAAAACATAAGTTGATGGAAGATGGGTCCAATTTATGGCTGACGATTAGAGTTTTCAGAGTTCCAAGTTTTGGCATTTTTTGAGCATATTTTATAAGAAAACTGTTTTAAAATTATTAAGGTAATTGAATGTTTTTTTATATTTAAACAATTTTAATCTTTATCGCCACCAATTGTTGTTTTTAAAGGACAACACACATAGTAATTACTACATTAAAATGGCGATTTGGGTGTAAAATCTGGATAGAAAAAAAAAATTAAAATATGTAAACAAAGTATATAGAAAAGAAAAATAAATTACTGAATGAAGCCCCCCATAAAAAGTGAAAACAATTATTAAAGTTAATGAACACATCAAAGTCAAAATATTGTCATAATTAATTAAGATCGGCTTTCTTTACAAAAGTTGCCACATAAATTAAATATTTTATTATTGGATTAATAAAGCGATTTTCAAAAATAAAAAACAACGGTTACTTTAGAATAAATGTAGTAATGTTTTCAAGATGGTGTTTTTAAAAACTAATAATGATTAATATTTCTACGTGACCTGGGTGTGGTTGAGCATCGATGTCTTGAGAATGGAGAGCGGGCCGTGGGTGAATTCCTCCTCCTCCAGCCGCTCGATCTCTTCGGGAGTCATCTCCTGCCTTGGCCTGTTCGATGTCGATCTAAAGGAAAATTGAATACAATTGGAAGAGGTACCAAAAATGGTATTCTATTTATAATATTTAATAATAGTGAAATTTAATTTCACTATTTTAAAACTAATAAACTTATAGTAATATTATTTATTTTAGCTCATGAACCAGTTTTTGTCCTATTTTCCTAGAAAATAATAGATTTATACATTGAAACGGAGGATGCGGGTACCTTTTCTATCCGTTTTAGAACCTCTAATGAATTCGTTACAACATAAAAAAAATTTTTTAAGGAAATTTCTTTATTGAGATATATTACAATCTGTCACATTTAAGGACAATAGTATTTGTGGTAAAGAGTAGCTCATTCATACTATGCACAATAAATAAAAATAAATAAACCGCAATATAATAATACTAAAACTAAATGTATATAAACTTAAATATCCTAAACTAAAAAAAAAAACATCTAAAAATAAATACTTACACACATGATTTTATACAATATTCATTCACTCAAGGTCTCCGAGCCTAGCCTTTCCTCACACTAGTGGAGGGAAAGGCGGGACTCTAAGAGATCCCAACGTCTTTAACTCAACCGCATCACTGGTATTACCAATGGAGGCTGAGAAGAGACACTATAATCAGACATACATGGCTTGAGTGGATATATTCCACTATAGACTCCAATATATTCTTACAACAGGTCTCTGGGTCTCTGCCGCTTCAACCTTCGAGGAGGGTTGTAGGGATGAGTAGTGCTAGAGAGGGGTTGTGCAATTGGATTTGGATGATACGTAAGGTTTTGGGGGAATTTGGAAAAATTTTTAGGGATAAGGTCTAGGACAAATGGGATATTAAGGTCATGGTGTAGGGTTTGGTTGGTAACATAGAACAGAGCATCAACTATTGTTCGAAGGACTTTTGACTGAAAGGATTGAATGAGTTCGAGTTAGAAAATTTACCTGCCCCCCAAAGTTCCAGTCCGTATTTCACTATTGTCTTGTACATCAGTATTTTGTTGTCAATTGAAAGTTGGGATTTTCTGTTCAGTAGTCTATATACCTGGCCATATCGTCGGTTGAGTTCTTATCTTTTGAGTCTAGTATGTGGGTTCCATGTTAGTCTTCGGTCTAAGAGAAAGCCAAGATACCGGACTGTGTCTGAGTAAGGAAGCTGGATGGAATTAAACTACTTAAAAACTGGTGGACAGGAATTGCGTCGAAGAGAAAATGTAAGATGTTTGCATTTCGATTCATTCACTTAATGCGCCATTCATCACACCAGTGTTCAATCAGGGAGAGGTGCATTTGCAGATTTAAGGATGCAAATTTCAGGATCTGAGTTGGATGATAGGATTGCCGTGTCATCAGCAAATGTTACAAGGGATGAGCAGGGATGTCAGCGGTAAAGAGGATGTAAAGATCGGGACCCAAGACGCTGCCCTGGGGAACACTTAACTGCCCTGGCTTGAATAGGATAAATATCGGAAAGTGGGTTCCGCAGCGTACTCGAAATGAGAGGTCAGAGAGATAGGATCGAAGGATTAGGTGTAAGGACTGAGGTAGATGTATTTTAAGCTTGTAGAGCAACCTGGGGTGCCATACCTGGTCAAAAGTCTGTGATATGTCCAGAAATGCACCCGAACAGTATTGTTTGTTTTCTAGGGAACAAAAGCTTAAATAACTTAATTCAAATCGGGTTATTTGTTGCATAAATATGACATTTTGAACTTCATATATATTTTTCAATAGACATTCTATTTCCCGTGTTTTTTTCGTTTTTTTTACGGCTTGATAACTGCAAATCTATCGGAAACTTTATCTAATTATCTACGAACATAATAAATATTAATATAATATGAAAATATTGAATTCAAATATATTTTAAACATTTGAACCAGTGTTAACAACCAGTTTTTTTCTTTATGTAGTAAGGAAAGTCGTGTAAGAGAACTCGCCCCACGTATTTAGTATGTAGCTATTTAAAAATAATAAACTATTGTATAATAATTTACAAAGCTTGTAGAATTTAAAAAAAAAAATCAGCGGATGACCATTAATAACAATTAAATCCTTTTTCATTTGTTTTTCAAATAAAAATAGGTGGAAAATACAACTTAAGTAAGAGCTTTGCCGTTCATACTTATTTTTTATTCGATAAAGTTAATTTCATTATTCGTTGCTCTAAAAAAAGGAAATTAGCAAAAATTTGTTTAAATACACATATAGATAAATAAAATATTTATTTTTTTCACAAATAAATAAGTAAGAAAAAATATATTTATATTTTACTACGATTACTATGACTACCAAAAAAAGTGTACACTTTTTGAGTTATTCGGAAATCTAGTTTTACCACCCCTCGAACCTTTTTTCCCAGCTTCTTTTCGATGAAATATGTTATTTAAATAAATTTAAAAGGCTTCAAAGGAAAAGATTTTTGCCAAGCTTGATCGAAATCGGCACATTCGTTCAGGCGCTACAGTCTATACAGTTTTCGGCCGCCATCATGAAATGCAAGTATATTTCAGTGAATTATGTTATATCTGTGAATTAAAAGTGTTTTGAGGGATAAAACTTTAGTCAATTTTTATTAAAATCGGTACATTAGTTTAGGGGCTACAGTGTATAATGGCACAGATTTTTCGGCTTTCATCTTGAAAGGAAATGGTGGATGGTAATGCCGAGTTTTTAAGATCATCGTGGGGTGCCCTTTCTCATTGATTCCGAATCTCAAAACAATCGCTCTATTAGTCTTATCTTGAAACTTAAAACCTCAAATTTAGAAGGGAGAGGGTCAACTTTTTCTTATTGGTCGATTAGAAAGATTGATTATTGAATATAATAAACCAAAAGATCGTATTGAATGTTTACTTCTTTTTAACCCAAAGAGGTTCTTGAAAATCAATCGATTTATCTCGAACAAAATCACAGGTCGTGGAATATGTTAGATCATAACCTTCCTCTAAATTTTAAAAATGATAATAACTTTCTTTGTCCTGACAATGTTCTACCTTTCCTTGATTTTGGTCGCTAACATAATACGTATCACGTACAGCTAATAATAGGGGACTATTATATTATTTTCTTGAAAATGTCATCTAGAATTGGAAACTACTTCAAATGTACTTACGGATGCATGATTATCTCTTCAGAATAAACTTTGACTGAATATATATCAAAGAAGATACTGTGTGAGATTGAACAGCTTGCGGAAATATGGTAGTGAAAAGTATTTCAAATGTTCTAAAATGGTATTTTAAACACACGGTAAATAAACATGTAATATATTTCTAAAAATCAATCATGTTTCATCAAAAAATGATTGTTAATGATTGAAAAAAAAATATATGATAAGTGAGTATAATAAAATAAAATCCAGTTTAATATGTGTTCTGTATTTTTTTTATTGAATAGAGTTTCTTAAAAACTACAAAATAAAATTAATTTTGTGGTTGCCATGGTACATGTTTCTATTAAAAATTACCAAATAATCGTTCAAAGCATTTTCTTCTGTTAAGGGGTATATCAGTAAAGATAAATGAGAACAACATTTTGATCGAAAAGGTATTGTTGAAGAGAAGGTAGGTTATGAGTTTGGTAACATCCTATTGGTTCTTCAGAATATTTACCACGGTTACGCTATCACTTATCAAGATATAAGCTTATCTGAAGTAGGTTTTTATTCTCCAATTCAAGTTAGTTCCTTCACTGAAGAGGCATTCATCAAAATATACAGATTTATGGAAACACAAGTGCTTTAATAACTTATTGTGATTTAAAAAATATTTATAATTAATAACTACTAGCCTCCAGTTGGTATTTTGAGATAATTGGAGTCAAAATTCTGTTTTCACACATCAATACATCTTAGGTGTTTGTTGAAATCATCGATTGGCACCAATACACATTTATTTATTATTGAAGATTAAACACTTTTTGTACTGTCGGCATTTCAGATCTTGTAGATATTTTTCCGCTTTAACAAGGCATCTTCCATCTGTGCCTAACTTGAGTTATATCTTTCCATTTATCTGCACCCAGCTCTATTGTATCTTTGTTGATTCTATCTATCAAACTGCTTCTTGCCTTTTTTTCCTTCTGTTGAGGCATTCACTGTTACGTAGATGCGTCGAGATTAATTGCAAAGAGCTACATACCCCCTTTCAGATCTTAACATCCGTTCTTTCATATCATGGGATATTTATTGACCGATTAATATTAGCAGTTCTTTATTGGTACTTCTTCTCTATATGTTAGTACTCTGATCCCCCAGATCTCTCCGGTTACCATGTTTTTTCTCTCAAATATTTCAATACTCTTTCCTAGGTGGTGGTTAGTATCCAGATTTCACAGCCATATGTTTGAACTGGCTTTATCATTGTACACCCTTGATTTGATATTCATTTAGATTTTTCGGGATTTTAATACCTTTGAAAGGGAGAAGAAAACTCTATTTGCGATAGTTATACCCTAGTATATTTCTGACCGTTGGTCATTAAAATTAAATATATTCACATTTAAATTAATAAAACTATTCCATCTAAATCCGCCAACGAGGTAGGAAGGAACACTAACCCAAACCATAATAGAGATGTTGACATACAAAGAGCAGGGGAGTGGAGAGATAGGAGCGAGAGATTTGGGGATTGAAGGGGTCGTTACTGATCTCGACAATCGATTCTGAAAGACAGATCGATTTGTGGCCCTCGCCCGATATCTTCTTAGCCCCAATACTTCAGTGCTGACCTTTCCGCACCTCTCTGACGCTGAAGGTTAGGCACTTTATCAGCTCTTAGTTTATTTTCGTATTTATCTGATATTTTGATTAAAACTATTAATATGCTACCTATTGCTTATAAATGATTAGTAAAGCTTTGGATAAACTACTGTTATTCTAAGAACCTCCCGATTATCAAAATTTTCGATAACCCAATTAGAATATTCCGTTTACCCTGAGTTTATGAATACTAATCGATTTATCAGTAGAAACAATGAAGTATGGAGCCATCCAGATAAAATGCCATAAAAATATAAATTTTATATACTGGCATTATGCAGTCCGTTTAAGTGTTCTCTGTTGGTATGTATCATTGGAGGTTTCTCATTCATCTATTTTAATATAATGATATTAATACTTGATTCCTATGTTTTTAAAATAAACTTCTTAATTAAAAAATTTAGATAATAAGAAAACAAAATAACCATAAAGGATCCAGTATTGTCATTCCTTCGCCTAATATCTAATATCACCTACAGCCCATATGGTGCAATGCTGTAGCATTATTAAAATGAGTTTTAATTTAGAATAGTGTATATAGGTATGCTTGTATCTAAGATGTTTGTTTTATTTTTATTTCTATTTTTACTTACTTCTGTATATATATATATATATACTCTTTTGTTCTTTTTTTCTTATTCTTTTGTCCTTATTTTATTTATTTAAATTTCTGTATATACGGTATGAATGTACTGTCTGATCTCTATTACAACTGTCAGATTGTAATATTTCTCAATAAAATGTTTTATATAAAGCAATTTAGAATCGACTTCTTTTTTTTCTTAACACTTTTATTATTTGGATAGCTTAATACTATCAAAATCTACTTGAAAATAAAGTTTCAAATATGGATGAAATAAAGGAATCGCAGGTAACCATTAACAGTGACGAAGGAGTTCATTCATGGAGTTGTACACATAATTTAAGTAGCCACAAAATAAATAATTAAAAAATTTATTTTCAAAAAATTGAAACATAATACATTAATTTTTATTTTCAATTAGATATCTACATATAGTATAATGAACTTGTATGATGAAAAGATTGGTAAACATACAAAGGTAAACTATTGAGGGCAGGTAGCATGTTAGAAATATATGCAACATCAGGAAAGAAAGATTAAAATAATAAAAAAATTGCAAATATGTGGAAAAGATGGAAATTTTATGGCGTCAAAAGAAAATATATTAAGTACCAGAAAATGACATTTCTATTCACAAACGATAGCCAGAGTGGTTTGTGATATAATAATAATTGCCACGATAGCTCAAGAGATCAACTGGGAGGCCAAAAAACTAAACGCATGGATAGAATCAACGACTACGTTTTGGGAATTACGTGATTTTGCACCCGAAAGCTACCAAGCGGTAAGTTGCGTAAATAGCATTTGGTCACGGCCTGCACTGCTTTCGACGAATTAAGAGCTAGGTTAATGAGAAGTTTCCCGCGGTTCAAAGAGTTTATAAATGGCTGCAAGACGGCGGTGGGTCTAGCTCACTTCAACCTAGGTGCCTACAGAAGGAGAAGAGGGCCAGTCCTAGGAAGACCTCAGGATTCGGAAAGCCAGGCCTAATTTGCTGAAGGGTGAGGATAAGTAGAAGAGCTGTGTGAAAAGAAAAGCTGTGTGCACAGCTTAGAATTTTGTAAAACGATATTATGGCAGTAATTGTTATTATGCATTGATGCTTAACATCACACTACTGCACACATCCGTGTTGCCCTGGTGGCATGGGAGAGTGGAAAACAAATAAAAATAAAAAAGTTGCGTAAATAGAGATAAGCAAGAAGAGGAAGTGAAGGAAGAAGTCTGAAGTGTTTGTTCGACCTCAATCCTTGCCAAGACATCATAGAAGGAAGACCTAAAGCCTGAACTGGTAGAGGGGTCCCAACGCCAAGTAAAATTTGCCTTATGCCAGCAGAAAGGGTGAGTTACTTTTTCACAATGCGTATGACCCATTAGTTGCCTAAAAAATACAGACCACTGCCAAATTGTATCGTACCTTGCATGATGTTGAACTCATTAGAGTTTATTTCCATTTTTTTTCTAAAAGTCGTCATTTGCCTAAACGATGTTGCATAGAGCAAACTGAAAAGTAGCAGCCTTGGAGAATCAGAGGTGAAGAAGGTTTATTGAAGAGGCTAAAGATCTAATTTGCCAAAATAAAATGAATAAAATAAAAATATAGGCTTCAATAGAACGGTATTCTCTACTAATGTATTCAACTAATCGCAAAAATACTTAGTACTTCCTAGTATGGTATATATTTGTTGTATAATACTTCCTAGAGCATCTTCTTATCACAAACTAGGAGGTTTATCAGGAATTATAGAAGAACGAAGTTGAATTGGGTTAAGATGAGCCTGAAGCTCATTATGGAAGAATATACATCTGACATTAGACCAAGTCTGTAACACATGGAACATTAGGTTCATTGTGAATTATTTTATTTGTGAAAAAGTAAGAAACGTTGACGATTTTAAACTAGAAGGAATGGACAGAAGAAAGAATCAATGGTTTATTGGAACTCATAAGCTCTACTCTATAAATCAAAATTAGTCTTATTATCGAGTAGCAAGATCGAGAAATTAATCTTATTAGTAAATGAGTTTTGAAATTAATTGAAAGCTTACATAATCCGCGCTTTGCAGAATCGTCACAATTAAGTGAAATCCATGTGAAATACGTTATTCAATATATGAATATTAATTATGCTAAAATCCACTCGACTTTTTCCCCATTTCTATACGAACCAAAATTTATTTCGTAAAGCGGCACAGATTTTTTCAATTTTTTTAATAATAAAATAGTTTTGAAGGTGAAAAATTAATTCATCTCGTAGCTAATACACTTCATAATTAAATTATTACATTCCAGAGCGCTCCTTTCGCTAAAAGTCAGGGATATTTGACCATTAGAAGCAGACTTAAGAGCTTTGAGCGCGACAGATCAAAGCGGGTCCGGATCAGCTACTCCTTGCTTCATCAGCTCTGGTCTCGATCGGAACAGCTCCTTTGTTCTTGTGTCACTGGTCGCATTTCTTGATTGCTGGTCTCCTTCATGAAGGAGCTTTCTTGTTCTATTAAAAGATTAAAATGAAACGTTGCTATGAACAAGGATAAATAATTTTTTTTTATTTTTTAAATTTATTTATTCAGAAATATTACAATCTGTCAAAATTAAGGACATTTGTAATAGTGTTCAGAGAGCACATTCACACTCCATTTACAATAAATAATACAAAAACTAATTATAATAAAAGTAAATGTGTATAAAAAAGAGAACTAAACTAATCAAAATAACAACTAAAACACATGCATACTATACAATATTTACAGAATCCATTCACTCAGAAGAACTCCGAGCCAAGCCTTTCTCCACACTCGTGGAAGGAAAGGCAGGATTCTAGGAGATCACAGCACCTCGCACTGAGCCTTACTGGAATTAAAAACATAGAGGCTGAGGAAAGGCTCTATAATCATACACACTTGGCTTGAGTGAAGGATCTGGCCATTGTCAAAACT